CTTCATCCTAAATTTTTTGGCAACAGTACAAGAAAGTCTAAGCCTTTCATGATCCTCCCTGCACTCCTCCTTTGCACCTCTGGCATCAGGAGAGGCAAAGGAGAAGTGGCGGCAATGGGGAGATCGGGGAGATCGTAAAAGGCTTTTGGTGAGCTCTTAAGGGGATGTGGGTGTTTTTGGTGCAGAGGTTGGCTTGGTGAGTGAAGTGAAGCGAACAGGGGCAATAGCCCCTCATAAAAGTAATACAAGTAATTTAATGGGTTCCTCTGTTTTCAGGTGGTTATGATGGTCTGAACATCTTAAATTCTGTGGAGCGATATGATCCCCACACTGGGCACTGGACAAATGTCACTCCAATGGCCACAAAGCGCTCAGGTGAGAGTCCTGATCAGGGTGGGGAGCTGTTGGCAGTATACCAGCTGTAATGGTGGTTTAATAGGGACCATCTGATTAGAGTGAGAATTTTGTTCTTGCTTCTCCCTGCAACTGTACTCTTACAGAGTAGATCTCCTGAAGTTTCCAAATAATGAATCTGGAAATTGCCAAGGACACCAGTAACCAGCCCTCTCTTCCCAGCAGCTCTCCAACTACCACAGGGTTGTATGAAACAGTGCATGGAGTTCTGCTCATGCAATGTGACTTCCCCTTCTCCTCTCCCTGCATGCTCCCAACATCTCTTCCAGACAGTCCCCCAGCTTCCTGGAGCAGATTTTTTTTTTGGGGGTAGTGGTGGTTAGGGTTAGGGTTAGAGAAGATGTCCTATTACACTGCACAAGCCTGTTTTGTGAGGACTGTTGGATACAATTCATAATATCTGAATAGCCTTCACAATATAAAACATCTGTTTTCTCTCACTCCTTCATACAATTAAGACAGTTTGCATACTGTCTTTAAATGAATATAAATGTATACTTTTCTTGGATATCTTTAAGCAGCTTTGACATCCTGTGCAAACATTACAGTTCCAGGAAGATTACTTTCCCCCTGTCGCCTTTGCAGTGGTAGACTGTGACTATTAAAAGAGGCAGGCATTATGATAACTTCACCCACCAAGGGGCTTGTTCATTTTCAGTAGGCAAGAGGCATCCAGATATGCCTTATATCCATCTAGGCATGGCTTATTGTGGGATTTGGTGCCACGTTCCATGGTTTTTCTTTCCCAGGAGCTGGAGTAGCCTTGCTGAATGATCATATCTATGTGGTTGGAGGGTTTGATGGAACAGCACATCTCTCCTCTGTAGAGGCGTATAACATTCGCACAGACTCATGGACCACAGTGACCAGCATGACAACCCCCCGCTGTTATGTGGGAGCAACAGTCCTGAGGGGGCGACTTTATGCCATAGCAGGGTAAGGGGGCCAAGCTTCACTCAGAAATACCTCTAAGCCCTAGCATAGCTGGGGAAGTCTGGCTATACTTTTTATAAGTGTATTAGATGCCCAGTAACAAGGCAAAAGGCCCATCTGATACAGCATTTGTTTTTGCACACTGAGGCACATGATCAAGATCAAAAATGCAGGAGGGATGAATGCTGTTGCGCTAAGGCCCTGCTTGCAGCCTCCCTATAGGTATTTGTGAGAACAAGATGCCAAAATAGATGAGCTACTGGCATACCAGGCGGGAGTCTTCCTTCTGTGAAATTGTAATCTGTAGATTGGTCCATAGGGTGGGTTTGTGGTAACATGTTCAAAGATGGACATGGCAAGTGTTTCCTTGCACTGACCTCTCACAAAATACAAGAGTTCTGTCGTCGTATGACTTAATAGGGGTGGGTGTGCCACGTCTCCAAACTATTATCAAGTCATCTCCTTTTTAAGAGTTCCAGGCTTCAACATGTTCTCATCAGTAATCTTCTCTCACGTGTAGGTACGATGGGAACTCGCTTCTGAGCAGTATTGAGTGCTATGACCCTATCATTGACAGCTGGGAAGTGGTGACATCACTGGGAACCCAACGGTGTGATGCTGGCGTTTGTGTGCTGCGTGAGAAGTGACCTTAGGGGAAGGCCTTGCGAGAGCACCTCTGTGGAACTAAGAGACTATGGGAGAAAGTACTGGCTCACTTGCAGCTATTGCTCTTGTAGCTGTGGATGCAGTGACCATTGCTATCTGGCCTGCACTGCAGACCTTCAGGCTCATCTTCAAAGCTACTGATTCCATTTAAAAAACAATCCACACACAAGGCACTTTGAACTGAAAACAGAGAAATCACATGCTCGTGTAATGATAACCCTGTGAAAGTGAGTTGCCTAAAGCAGTAAAGATGTCTATGCTTTCTGACCTGCTGCATCTCTAGAACATTGGCACATACAAGGAAGTTTGAGAATGGCACCAACGATTTGTGCCTGAATGTTTCCATGTACCAAATATGCTGCAGTGCAGACATACTGTTAGTGAGCATTGTGTGGGCACACTGTGTTTTGTTTTTGGACGCTTTTTACGTTCTGCACAGACTTGCCCATGGTGCTGGGGAGAAGAGCCAGAGGCTGATGCATGCAACTGATAGAGACTCTGTGTGTTGGTATAAGCAATCTGGCCTTCCACCATAACGGAAAAGGGGGCAGCGGAGACTATAGCCTGCTGGAATATTCAGTCTTATCTGCTGGGAAGAAAGGCAAGCAGACAGGAAGAAAATACTGAATTTCGTGTTTTTACCTGAAGAGAGGGTGTGTTCTAGTACTTGTGAACAAAAACCTGTTTACATCTGCTATCTAAGCCAAGTTTTTTTTTAGTGTTGGTGGAGCAGTGAAGTAGGAAATCTTGACATATTGGCAGGAAAGAGTATAATGTGCTCTGGAAAGGGTGCATCTGCCCAGGCCACTTAGGCTGTCTTGCGAATGTCCCTTCAATCTCCACAAATCACTGAACATCTCTTCTCAACCCCACACTGGTCTTAAGCCTGATACCCTGTGCAGGCCTTCTGCATGAGCAGTCGGCACAGGTTGTCTTACACTCAGCTTTTATTGTGCTTCTGCTTTAGCACCAAAGTAGGAGCATGATACGTTCTATTTCGTTAAGAGCACACTAATGTTTACAATGCATTGTAGTTTTACCTGGTGTCATTTCTCTCCAGACCCAATTACAACAAGGCATTTCACATGAACTGGAACATTTGCTCAAGGCATCTCTTTCGTGGCATATTTATGATTCTCCTTGCCTATTTTAATACCCCTCTGGTGTGTTATGCAGCTTGTACTAGATATGTGAATTCACACCACATTGCTGAAATGGACACCTGAGCCTGTGGATAATGCGCCTCCAACCCCTCATGGATGTGCCCTAAACTTTCAGCATGATCCTGGAGCTCTCTCTCTCCCATGACCCACTGAGCCTCTTCCTGTCACACAGCTCTATTGGGAGCCAAGGGGTGAATGTATTTATTTGCTGGGTGTTATTGGCTCCTTGCTTTGGGGATATGGTAGCATGGGAGAATGATGCACTTTCGAATAACACTGAGTTTATAAGTCCTGTCCTATCACATCAGTGTTTGTGATTCATTTCTTACGTATTTTTTAATAAAAGTATCTCTGGTACATGTGAACATTTGGTTTCTCCAAGTAGGTTGCCTTTATTTTTGCAGTAGCATTTATTATTTAAACCATTTTTAAAAATATAAAGTATTTGTTGGTGAAGTGCTCCTTTTATGTAGGCTTCTTCTGAAGAGGTGCCAAATGGGCATTGGTGGAGTCTACATTTGCCCACTTTTCTCTTAAGTTCATCTCTTTTTTTACAGCTTATTTCTTAAAGAGAAAGTAAAGTGATGGGGATTAAGAAAATGTTTATAGAATAATAGAATTGTAGAGTAGGAAGGGACCTTGAGGATCATCTAGTCCAACCCCCTGCAATGCAGGAATATGCAGCTGTCCCGTATGGGGATTGAACCTGCAGCCTTGGCATTATCAGCACCACACTCTTAACTAACTGAAGATTATTTTTACTTTGATGCGCAAACTGCATTAAGAAACTGCTTTCTTAATCTTGCATAGCTTCAGATCTCCTTTTCCACTCTTGCTTACATTATAGTATGACCCCATTGCCCCTTTCAGGGAGAGAGCTGTCATCTATTGAGGCAGGCTCTGAATGAAATGAATAATGCATCTCATCATCTGGTAAAGAAGTTGCCAAGAAATAATTCTGTGTGTTTTCCTACTCTTTTGAGCCCTTCCACTTTTCTCTGTAATATCTTACCATAAAACAGAGGCAGGGAGCTTTAGCCAGGTATCAATCTCCTTACACAAGAAGCCATCACATTCTTCTTCCTCTTTAGTACTGCATTTTAATCGAACTCAGTGAAATACATTACAGGAGAGAAAACTGAGTAGTAGTCTGAACAGAGAAACCATGGGCACAATGAGTTGTTTGGAAGGCACAATGGCCGCATGTGTGAATGGAGTCACGTTTTATTTTGGGACGACTCTTTCCTTTCGGTTACTTACTCTAATTCCACCCGCCTAAACACAAACACACACACACACACACACACACACACACACACACACACATTACGGCATCTATGCCAGCCTTCAATAATTCCCCAGTTAGCAAACAGGAACAAAGAAGAATCAGCACTAGCAGGGCGTTCTTCCCAAAACGAAAGTGGGATGTGGGCGCTACCACCTTTCCTGGCATAACGGGAAGCTGTCTTCCATTCACGCAGACGTGTTCCTGGCAACTTGCAAGCTGGCGGTACTGTGAACAAGGGCGCAGAGCCATTTGCTCATATTTTTCCCCCTACTGGGTTCGTAGCTGATGAATTCAGCCGGCGTCTACTTTTACTATTTCCGTTCGGTATTATATTAGTACTAAAAAAACCCCGAACTGGTGCAATAGCAGGATTGCAAAAGGAAGCAAAGTGCTTTAGCATTGAGGAGAGCTGGACTGCGCCGCTCGCTCGGTCTCCTCTCCGCTTTCCCGTTCCAGAGCCGCCGCGTAATTTGCGCGCGCGCCTTGCAGAGCCGGCCGAGGGGAACAAAGCGGGGCGCCTCTCTCGTCCCCGCTGGTGTCGCCCCGCCCTCGCCCTCTTGCGCCTGCGTGGCTATGGCGGCGCCCGGTTCGGAGATGGAGGCGGCGGGCGCGGCGGGGCCGGAGGAGCTGGTGTGCGCGCGGGGCCGGAACCGCAAGGCCGTCCTGTGCCAGCGCTGCAGCTCCCGCGTGCTTCTGCCTGGCACCGCCACCTTCACCCGCCGAGAGGTAGGCAGCGGGCGGGCGGGAGAAGGGCTTGCTGGGACGCCCGTCCTCGGCCAGCCTCCGGGCGCCGCGAGACCGGCTTGCCGAGGCCAGGGCGGGGTTTTCGGAGGAGCTTCCCCGGAAATCTCCCGTTCCTCCGGTGGTGCTTTGCTTAATAAGAGCCAGAGGTAGAAATCTCTGCCTAGCCCTGAAGATCCCTCGGTGATTTGGGGCCAGTCATTCTCTCAGACTCGCCTAATGCTACATTGCAGGGAGGTTGCGAGTTAAAAATGGGATATATTGCGGGTGTGGAGGGGGGTTGATATCTGCAATGTTGAGCTTGTTAAAGTCCGGGGTATAAGTGAAAATAATGGCTATGAAAGGAAAGACGTTTAGAAAGACGCTTGGCGACTTGTCTGGCTGCAGAATGGGAAGACTGTGAAGACACCCTGCAGATCCTAAGAGGCATATTTCTTATTAACACATGCTTTACAGTTATGGAGATAAGTCTTGCCTAAAATGAAGCCCTGAATCCAAAATCTAGGTGGAGAGCCTACTTTGCAGCCAGAGGCGCACCCAGGCTCCCTTGCACCCTTCGCAGTGAGCTGTCTCGCCCCTGTCTTCCCTTGCACCCTTGGCAAGGAGATCTATTGTTGTGGAGAGGCACAATTTTTGCACCCTGGGCCTGCACCCTTTGCAGGGGCCAACCTAGGCAGCTCCCAGGAACACCCCTGTTTACAGCTAGTCAACTTGTGTATGCTAGGGGAGGCTAACCAGTGTTATTGGACTCTGATTCCCATCAGCGCCATCCAGCGTGGTCAATAGTCAGGGATGATGGGAGTTGTGGTCCAACAACATCTGGAGGGCCACAAGTTAGCCACTCTTGATGCATATTCAAAGTACAGTGGTACCTCGGGTTACATATGCTTCAGGTTACAGACTCCGCTAACCCAGAAATAGTGCTTCAGGTTAAGAACTTTGCTTCAGGATGAGAACAGAAATTGTGCGGCGGCGGCAGCAGGAGGCCCCATTAGCTAAAGTTAAGAACAGTTTCAGGTTAAGTACGGACCTCCAGAATGAATTAAATACTTAACCCGAGGTACCACTGTAAGAGTGAAGAGACAGGGAGTTGTGTGTTTGGGAAACTGTAGAAAGCTCTAACTATCCCATAGTAAGTACCAGCATATCATGCCAGCCATGTTGCTTCTTTCACAATAAAAGCAGCTGACTTGCTTGTTTTGTTGCTTGACAGCTTTTCCTCCCTGCTATGAAGAAGAAGACCGCCCTGGTGGGCAACAGTGACTTGGATGGGGATGTCCTACAGGACCACTGGCTGGTTGATGACATGTTCTCTTTTGAAAATGTTGGCTTCACCAAGGATGTTGGAAATATAAAGTTCCTGATCTGTGCAGACTGTGAAATCGGTCCTATTGGCTGGCACTGCTTGGATGACAAAAAGAGTTTTTACGTGGCCTTGGACCGTGTGTCCCATGAATGATGTGCTGACTGGTGACCAAAAGATCAATGATCTTCCTGTCGGCTGGTTCAGACATGTTACAGCTACTCTTCTCTCTAGCGGACTAATGTCTACTTTGTAATGCCAACATGCAGCCTTGAAAACGGCTCAAGAATGGTGCCCTAACATGTTGCATTGAAAGAAGTGTCTGCTTATATTGCTTGTCAAGTGACTTACGACTCCCTTGAACCCCTTCTTCCCCATTTAATTCTTGCCCTGAGTCCTGTTCTTGTCTAAAATCTTGCAGATTACATTGGTGTAATTTGAAGCAAAGACCTCGCTTTATTTAATTATTGAGTGAAAGAAAAATATTGAGATACACTGAACCATCTATCCCCTGTAAAGTGAGCATATTAATGCAACTGGAAGAATTCTTAGCCTTTTTTTTTGTGTGTGCTTTTGGGCAGTATCATATCCAGATTTATAGTTTTCTGCTGTATTTTGGACCAAAGGGTGCATACTTTTGACTTTAATGTTTACAGACATGACTGCTATATCTCTGTCAATTGACATTTTATAATTGACATTTTATAATTTCTATCTTATAACTGTTATTGAAAGCCAAGTCTTGGTTGCGGGACTTTTTAAATGTGGGAAAATAAAACGAAGCTTTTGAGAGTGCAGAAAGAAAAGTACAAGAAAAAATGTCATTGGAGGAGCTAACCTTCTAATCCTTTACAAATATTTGTATTTAATTAAATGTAAACCAAGCTTTTCAATTTGTATGTTGTGATCTTTCTATAAAATGTTGCCAGAGATAATGAACCTAATGAATCTTAGCTAATTAAAAACACAGCAAATCTTGACAAAGAAAGAATGCTTCAGTTGGATTTACTTCCACTCCTCCGCATAGTTGAGGGAGTTGAGAATGTTGAACCTGGAGAAGAGGAGACTGAGAGGAGAGATGATAGCCATCTTTAAATACCTAAAGGGCTGTCACATGGAGGATGGAGCAAGCTTGTTTTCTTCTCCCAAAGTTAGGACCTGAACCAATGGATTCAAGTTACAAGAAATGAGATTCCAACTAAACATCAGGAAGAACTTTCTGAGAGTAAGAGCTGTTTGACAGTGCAAGGACCCCCTCGAGAGGTTGTGGACTCTCCTCCCTTGGAGGTTTCTAAGCAGAGATTGGGTGGCCATCTGTCATGGATGCTTTAGTTGGGATTCCTGCATTTCATGGGGTAGGACTAGATGACCGTCGGGATCCCTTCCAGTGCTACAATTCTATGATTCTGTGATAGATCAAAGGAACTATTTGTAAATTAGAGCTACAAAACATTGCTAAAGGACTTCATGAAGAGAAATGTCCAATGCTTTTGTTAGGCAAAAATATTCTAGACCAGCAATAGCCAATGTGCTGTTTTCTAGCTATTGCTGGACTACAACTCCCATAATCCCTGACTGCTGACCATATTGGCAGGGGCTGGTGGCAGTTGGGAGTCCAGCAGCATCTGGATTTTAGGCTACCCCTGTCTAGTGAGTAGATTTCTAGTGCCAACATCCTGCTTAGTTGAGAAAACCCAGCTTTAGAGCACCCCCAACCTCTCCTGAAGCCCTCTAGCCCTCTAAGGCAGTGTTTTTCAACCACTGTTCCGCGGCAGACTAGTGTGCCGCGAGATGTTGCCTGGTGTGCCGTGGGAAAAATTGAAAAATTCGAAAGATTTAAAAATAAAGTATTTTATAATTTTTCATATTTCTGTTTACTTACTATTTCATAATAAAGTAATTATAAAATACTTTCTTTGTGTTTATTTGATTCCTATTCAAGAGAATTACTTTATATATAGTCAGTATAGGCACAGAGTTAATTTTTTTAACATTTTCTAATGGTGGTGTGCCGCGTGATTTTTTTCATGAAACAAGTGTGCCTTTGCCCAAAAAAGGATGAAAAACACTGCTCTAAGGAATTAGTTCTATTGTTGACGTGCTGCTCTCAACCATCAAAACATTTCTCCTAATTTAGTTAAAGTCTCTCCTCCTATCATTTAAACCCATTAGATCTTGTCCTGTCCTCTGGGACACCAGAGAAGCCATTGCCCTTCTTGGCAAGCATCTGAAATGACCTGGAAAGTAAAACAGAGGGCATGATGACGTTTCCATTTCAAATGTACACCTCATGGTGGCACCACTGCTTCAGGGCTGTAGTGTGGATTCTTTTGCTTCTGGGATCCAGCACTTGTCTTGCAAATAAGTGAATGTGTCTCTGTTAAAGCAGTGGTTATTTCCAGTGCAGCAGCTTCCTTCATACCTCTTTACTGTACTACATTTTCTTAAGTGGCTGATTCTCCTTGACCTCCCAGTGGCTTTTGATACCACTGGCCATGCTATCCTTCTGGGCCATCTGTGGGAGGTAGGAAGCACTCCTTTGCAGGGCTTCCATTCATATTCTGTGGCAGCTTCAGACAATAGCCCTGGGTGACTTCTGCTTGGGCCAGAGCTAGCTTTCTTGTGGAATCGCACATGGTTTAGTCTTAATTGTCCATGCTATGTGTACGAAGCCACTGGAAGCAGCCATCGGGATTGGAGCACCAAGTCATCAGTATGCTGATATCACACACAATGTTCTCTTTTCCACTTGTACCAAGCAAAGCACTGCAACTGCTCAGTCAGTGCCTGGAGGTGGTAATGAGCTAGATCTGGCCCAATAATTCATCTTCAGTGTAGTGTAGTAGTTACAGTGTTGGATTGGGAGATGGGCTCAAATCCCCAATCCGCCATGAAGTTCACTGGGTAGCCTTGGACCAGTTCACTGTCTCTCAGCCTAACCCACCTCACAGGGTTGTTGTGAGGATAAAATGGAGAACCAATATATCCGCTGCCTTGATTTCCTTGGAGGAAAGATGGGATAGAAATGTAATATAAATAAACTGAAGCTGAATCCAAACAAGGCAGAAGTGCTATGGGTGTCCAGGAGGTGGCAGAATTAGCTGTTCTTGATAGGGTGCACTTCTTTTGAAGTGTGTGTATTTTGGGGACACTCCTGAAATAATATTTTTTGTCACTCAAGGCCAAGGTGGCCGTGGCTAGGAAAGCCTATGTCCGGCTTCAGCTTATGTACCAATACAGTGGTACCTCGGGTTAAGTACTTAATTCGTTCCGGAGGTCTGTTCTTAACCTGAAACTGTTCTTAACCTGAAGCACCACTTTAGCTAATGGGGCCTCCCGCTACCGCCGGAGCATGATTTCTGTTCTCATCCTGAAGCAAAGTTCTTAACCCGAGGTATTATTTCTGGGTTAGCGGAGTCTGTAACCTGAAGCGTATGTAACCCGAGGTACCACTGTATAACCATTTCTGGATAGGAATACCTTGGCCGTAGTTATTCACGATCTGATAAGCTACAACCTGATTTGCTGTGCATGGGGCTGTCTTTGAAAACTCTCTCGAAATCACAACTAATGAAAAATGCTGCAGTACTAATGTTAATTGGAACAGCAGGCCGTGAGCACATTACTCCTATCTTGAAAAAACTACACTGGTTGCCAGTTGTTTTCTGGGCCAAAATCAAGGTGTTTGCTTTGATGTTTGAAGGCCTAAATGGCGTGGGACCCAAATAGCTGCAGGAATGCCTCCTTTCAACTCAACCTACCTGTGTTTTAAGATCAGCAGGTGACACCCTCTTGGTGGTCCCTAAGCAAGAATGTGAGTGGCCCAGGCAAGGGCCTTTTCTATGGTGGTGCCTTGCAAGTGGATCACTTTTCCTACAAAGGTGCACCTGGCCCCAACTCTTTATAGTTTTAGGCACCTGGTTAAGATGCACCTCTTTCAGTAGGCATTTGGAGGATAAATGGATTACAGTGGTACCTCAGGTTAAGTACTTAATTCGTTCCGGAGGTGTATTCTTAACCTGAAACTCTTCTTAACCTGAAGCACCGCTTTAGCTAATGGGGCCTCCCGCTGCTGCTGTGCCGCCACTGCCTGATTTCTGTTCTCATCCTGAACCAAACTTCTTAACCCGAGGTAATATTTCTGGGTTAGCGGAGTCTGTAACCTGAAGCGTATGTAACCTGAAGCGTATGTAACCCGAGGTACCACTGTACAGTGGTACCTCTAGTTATGAACTTAATTCGTTCCGGAGGCCCGTTATTAACCTGAAACTGTTCTTAACTAGAAGCATGCTTTCGCTAATGGGGCCTCTTGCTGCTGCCGCTGCGCCACCAGCACACGATTTCTGTTCTCATCCTGGAGCAAAGTTCTCAACACGTAACTCTTCCAGGTTAGCGGAGTTTGTAACCTGAAGCGTTTGTAACCTGAGGCGTTTGTAACTCGAGGTACCACTGTATTGGCAATATTATTATTATTATTATCATCAGCATTATCATCATTTATTTATTATTTATACTCCACCCATCTGGCTCAATTTCTGCAAGCAAATTGGTTCAGGCCTCTGACAAGAGTGATGTGCCCCTCTTACAGCAGCCTGCTGGACATGCAACAGTGGGAGAGAGAAAGAACAGGGTGGCCTCCCACCAGCTGCTTGTTCAGCCCTACCCATAGTCAACATGTGGCCAGTGACAGACTACCCTCAAGGAAATGTGGCCTTTGAGAGGAAGCTGTTTGGCCGCTCCTGTTTGAACTGACCTGGACTGGTGTACCATAGTGTGTTTGTCCCCCAGCCAAGAGAGCTGCCTCTAAGAACAGTCAGGAAAAGGATGCCACATCAACAGTTTTCAGCCCAAGCACCTGTCAGAGGAGGCTGCTTCAGGCAGCACCGTCCTGCGATGGAACAAAAGGCCCCTAGCTACTGTTTAGTGCTAGCCGGAGAACATTCCTTCGATGTGTGGAGCGCCAGGAAATTCTTGCCTTTCCTTCATTATGGAATGATTCCTTTTTCTCCTTTCTGTGCGGATCATGACTTGGCTCATTCTGCTAGGACAAGCTGAAGAAGACAATGAAGGACTGGCTCTTTAGGCAGTGAGTACCATAGGAAAATTTGGCAGGCGGAGGGTTATTATAAAGGGAACTAGATTTGAAGAACATTGCAGTGGGCCAGATTCAACTAAGTAGGTCTGCCAGCTGGAGCCAGTGCTAGGACTCCTGCTAGCACAATGGGACTTTGAGTTCAGTGGGAAGCATGTTTAGAATTGGAGTTTTACTCCCAATCAACCAAGTTTCCCTTATTTTCAGTGGAACCTAACTCATGACTATGGGACGTGGGTGGCGCTGTGGGTAAAACCTCAGTGCCTAGGACTTGCTGATCGTAAGGTCGGCGGTTCGAATCCCCGCGGCGGGGTGAGCTCCTGTCTTTCGGTCCCAGCTCCTGCCCACCTAGCAGTTCGAAAGCACCCCTAAGTGCAAGTAGATAAATAGGGACCGCTTCCTAGTGGGAAGGTAAACGGCATTTCCGTGTGCGGCGCTGGTGCTGGCTCGCCAGAGCAGCTTCGTCATGCTGGCCACGTGACCCGGAAGTGTCTTCGGACAGCGCCGGCTCCCGGCCTCTTGGGCGAGATGAGCGCGCAACCCTAGAGTCGGTCACGACTGGCCCTGACGGGCAGGGGTACCTTTACCTTTTTTAACTCATGACTAACGTTTGCTAGACTGGGGACTTCTTCTTTAACAACAACAACAAAAAAGGAATATCAAATATCAAGCAGCTTTCCTTTAAAACAATATTTATCATATTTTTAATCAATACTTTTTATATGCTCACGAACCATTGCATATACATCCATTTATGACAGGCTACAGTCCTAAGTGCTTAAAAGGAAGCCCCACTGACCCCGGCTTAAAGTGGAATTATAAAGTAGCCATGCTAGCCCATTTTAAA